CAGGTCAGCATAATGCCTGAACCTTTCAGGCTGGAATTCACAAAGATCCTCCGGTCTCTGCCTCCAGAGTGTTTCGATTAAATTTAAAAGCATCAGAAAATTCTCGGGGTAAACAATATATCTACAGAAACGTTGTGTTCTTTCTTTCCTACTGTATGTGGCCTGACTCAGAGGGAAGAATCATAATACTAAAATTAAATTATACCGTGGAGGCTGGAACCATGTCCCAGGGGTTTAGAGCACCCAGAGGACCTGAGTTCATTTCCAGCACCCACATGGCAGCTCACAATGGTCTGTAACTCCATTGCCAGGGGATCCAATGTGTGTGTCTGTGGCCATTGCACATACATGGTGTACAGAAATGCATTCAGATAAAACTCATACACAGCCAGGTGTTGCTGGCGCATTCTTTTAATCCCAGCACTCCAGGAGGCAGAGGCAGGCAGATCTCTGTGAGTTCCAGGCCAGCCTGATCTACAGATAGGCTCCAAAGCTACACAGAGAAACCCTGTCTCTAAAAACAAAAGAAAAAAAAAAGAAACAAAAAAACTTATACACAGCCGGTCATTGGTGGCGCACGCCTTTAGTCCCAGCACTCGGGAGGCAGAGGCAGGCAGATCTCTGTGAGTTCGAGACCAGCCTGATCTACAAGAGCTAGTTCCAGGACAGCCTCCAAAGCCACAGAGAAACCCTGTCTTGAAAAAAAAAACAACAACAACAACTTATACACATAATGAATGGATATTTAAAATAAATCATACTGTATGAATCATATAAACCATGCATCTTCTGTTTTGGTATTGACTGGGGCTGGAACCTAGGGTATTTTGGAAACTGGGCAGGCATTCTACCACTAGGAGTGTTGGCTCATTTGCCTAGCAAGTGCCAGGCCCTGGCTCAGTTCCTTGCAATACTAAAGAAAACCAAACAGATTCAGGTGGACTGGAATCTCCTAGGTGACACAAGTCTACTCAGGCACACTCCTGTTTGAAAATTTCCATGGGTCTGCTTCTTGTATTCGTATGTGAAGAAAAATTACCCCACTTTGAATAGAATCTGTACTCTATAAGTATAAACTGCCAGGGCTGGAGAGATGGCTAAGAGGTTAAGAGCACTGACTGCTCTTCTAGAGGTCCTGAGTTCAACTCCCAGCAACCACATGGTGGCTTACAACCATCTGTAATTAGGTCTGGTGTCCTCTTCTGGTGTGCAGATATAAATGGAAGCAGAATGTTGTATACATAATAAATAAATAAAGTATAAACTGCCCTTCTCCTGGGGGAGGAGAGACTTGCAAAGCACCATTTGACTCCACCCTGTGTTTGGTTTGTTTTCTTCTCACAACATCTTATTAGGATATATGGTTCTAGATTCACATTGCAATGAGAACTTGGGGTTCTGCCAAAGCAGCTTGCAAAGGTGTAGACTTCACCATTGCAAAAACAAAAGAGCAACCCTGGCCATCACTTCTACAACTTATAAAACAGAGGCCTGGGATTCTGGGGTTGCCCTGGGGGAAGAAAAACATGTCTCTTTCCCTTCCCCTACTGCCACAAGCCAAGTATGACATTTCCTTTCATTGTATTTTGTGTGGTTCAGCAACATAAAAAGCTCATTTCTTTTCCTTTTCTGTTTTGTTTTGTAGCCCTGGCTGTCCTGGAGGAACTCTCTCTCTGTAGACTCGGCTGGCCTCGAACTCAAGAGATCTGCTTGCCTCTGCTGGGACTAAAGAAGGGCTACCACTGCAAAGTGGGGGGGGGGAGAAAAAATCATTTCTTACACATATACAGCAGCAGTTAAGTCAAGAAAGCATCATCAGGCAAGGCTTACTGTCATAAACACACAGAAAAACAAGCAGCTTCTTTGTTGTCAGAGAACAAAGCTACAACTTGAAGGTTTTTCTTGTATTTTAGGGCTCAAACCCAGGATACTGCACAGACTGGAAACACTATACCACTTGGTTACATTCCCTGGAACATAGAATTTTTTGTTTTTGTTTTTGTTTTTGTTTTGGGACAGGGTTTCTCTGTGTAGCTTTGGAGCTTGTCTCAGAACTCGCGTAGACCAGGCTGGCCTCAAACTCACAGAGACCTGCCTACCTCTGCCTACTGAGTGCTGGGATTAAAGGGGTGCACCACCAATGCCCGGCATAGAAGATTTTTAATTTGCTTTATTTTTTTGTTCTAAAGTCAGGTACTAATTCATTCCACAAAACAGGACTTGTTCTCTTGAGCCCAGTGCCAGAAAAAAGTTGAAGAAAGCATCAGTCAATAAATAAATACATACTTAAACAAGATAAAAACTAAATGAAAGCAGTCAGCAATGTTAGACTGGCCATTTCCAAATCACTTTCCTCCTAAGGAAAATAGAAAATTGACTAGCTGACATCAGACTACCTTGGAAAGGCAGAAGAGCCTTCTGTATTAGTTGAGGTAGCCTGCTGGGAGATGTGGCTCCACATTTCCTGTTTGGGGTTTGTTTTATTTGAGACCTGCACAGAAAGGATATCACTATGAAACTCTGGCTGGCCTGGAACTCACTATGTAGACTAGATCTGCCTCCTTCTGCCTCTCAGGTGCTGGATTAAGGGTGTTTTTTTTGTTTTGTTTTGTTTTGTTTTTTTTGTTTTTGTTTTTGTTTTTGTTTTTCGAGACAGGGTTTCTTTGTGTAGCTTTGGAGCCTATCCTGCCTCAAACTCACAGAGATCCACCTGACTCTGCCTCCCGAGTGCTGGGATTAAAGGCGTGCGCCACCAGTGCCTGGCGGGTTAAGGGTGTTTTAATTTATGTTTGGACCATTAATTTTAGCTTGGGTCAATCCTTTTTTTGTTTGTTTTGTTTTGTTTTGTTGAGATGGGGTTTCTCTGTGTAAGAGCCCTGGCTGTCCTGGAACTAGCTTTGTAGACCAGGCTAGCCTTGAACTCACAGATATCTCCTTGTCTCTGCCTCCCAAGGGCTGGGATTAAAAGTGCCTGTCACTACTGCCTGCTCCATTGTTTTCTTTGTTTATCTTTTGAGATAGGGTTACAATGTGTGGGGGTGGGTGGCTCACACTTTTAATCCCAGCATTTAGGCATAGGAGGCAGATCTCTTTGAGTTCAAGGCCAGCCTGGTCTACAGAGAGAGTTCCAGGACAGCCAGGGCAGATACACAGAAACAGAAACCCTGTTTAGAAAAACAAGAAATCAAACAAACACAAAAAGATTTTTATTTCACATGTATGACTGTTTGCCTGTATGTATGCATGTATGTACATTCGGGTATCTGGTGCCTGAGGAGGCCACAATAGGGTGTCAGATCCCCTACAGATGCCATTACAGTTGAGCTGCCATATGAGTGTTAGAGACCATACCCGGGTCCTCAGCAAGAGCAGCCTGTGCTCTTGCCCACTGAGCCATCCTGCCAGCCCCATCCCACCTCACCCCTTTTTTGAGTCAGGTTCTCACTATGTGAGAACTTGCTATGTAGAAAAGGCCGCCTCAGATGCACAGAGATCAGACCGCCTTTTTTCTGGGTGCCAAGATTAAAGGTCTACGCACCATGCCCAACTTGGCCTTGAACTTCTGATACTCCTGCTTCAGCCTCCAGGGTGCTAGAACAACAACAGGTCTTGTATCACCAGACTTGGCTTCCATTTTGACTTTTAGTCTGGTTTCTTGGGCCTCAGTGCAGGAGTTTCATACAAAACAACAGCCCTCAAGCAAACAACAGTGCAAACAAACAAAAATGAATAGCTCTCTGTGATCTTAATAACACATTTTGAAGGTTTCCTGTTCACACTGAGGCATGAGACTATCCCTTTGACAAACAGCATGTGAAGAAAAGTTGTTCCCAAAGTTGAAGGAAGGCTGGGGTGTAGGGATGGTGCAGAGCCAGGCAGTAGATCTGCAGGACACCAGGCTGGCACAGACATGGCATCACACACCGAGCTGGGGATGGCTGCTCAACGCTGTTGGTTTGCACTCTATACCTGTCACCTGCTCTTAGAAACTCAAGTGGGAAAGTAGCGTTGCCTCTCACAGGGAGCTTGAGGCTCACACTTGAGGCTAATACTTGCTGACAGGCTGAAGGCTGAAATGAAATGACTGAAACCTGTCCTAGACCGTAGGCAGCCATGGGTGAGGAGTGGGCAGGCCCAGGCTCTGCAGCAGCAGAGGCAGTCAGCAGGAGTCCAAGTGGGGACAGGCCTGTGATAAAGCCACCCAGGGGTCAGCTGAGGTAAAAGTATCTGTCAGTGAAGGGACAGCTGAGGTAGAAGGCTCCGGACAGAACTCTCTCTCCCAGACTTCCCAAGTTGGATCAAGGCTAGATCACTCTTCTGCTGGTGTTCCAGGAGAAGTGGTGGGAAGGAAATTAAGGTTACATATGGACTGGCACCCTGGGAAGTCTAGGTGAGCCATGCCTCCCAAACTCCATGCTCAGGAGCTCAGATACACAATGGGGCTTTTATAGGAAGGGGAAATGAAAGTGTTGAACTCTAGGTGGGGTCATCAACTTTTTGTTGGAACGCGTAATTGACCTTGACCTACCCCTAGAAGTCTGGAGTTCCTGAGACCTGGCTTTTCTTCAAGTTCAACCTAGAGTACATACTTGTGTTTATGGTCGCACAGGGCACGCAGGGGAAGGTGCCACAAGATCAACAAAAACTCTCCAGTCGTTTTGGGGTTTGTAAACCTATAGATTATTTAGCAGACCAGACCTCAAGTAGGCCTTTTTTTTTTTGGAGAATTTAGGGATGTCAAATGATGTCAGCAAAGGGGCGGGCACTGGGAACTGGGGCACTGGCAGGGCCATGCGTGGGCAGAGGCGGAATGGCTTCTACAAGTCTCCACCTTACGAGAGAACCAGGCCCAGGGAAGCACACAGACCCTTAACTGAAGCTCACCAGCAATCGCCCAGCCTGGCCGGCGCACGCGCAGAACAGATAGTTTCTTGGCCGCTGGCACGCACGCGCACCGCCCTGGATTCCGCCACTCCAGTCATGGCGGTTGTCGGGGCCGCCCTTGGTCCCGCCCTCGCTGACGTACCGCGAGTCACCTGACTCAGCTGCGGGCTGAGGAGACACAAGGGAAGTGGCCGTCGCGGGAGCAAGAGCCTTCGACTCCGGACCCCCGCGCCATGCCGTCCGAGAAGACCTTCAAGCAGCGCCGCAGCTTCGGTGCGCGCCGCGGGCCCTGCGGTGGGAGATCCGGGTGGTGTCGTGAGGGGTGGTGGTCGGGATCCCCGTGGTGTCAGGGGCCGGGACGCGGCAGGGGCCGGAGGAGTCTCCCTCTCCATCCCCCAGCTTCGCGGTCCCTGCTGGCTCAGTCCCCTGGGGAGCCCGAGCCCGAGCCCGGCGCGTCACCTGGGTCGTCTGTGGTCTCGGCGTCCCCTACGGGACTGGAAACCCGACCCAGGTGGCGGAGAGTACAGAAGCTGCGGCCTTAGTGGGCTCCAGGTCTGGGCGCCCCGCAAGCCCCGGGGCAGGACCCAGCCGCCTCTGTTTCGGCAGTCGCCCGGGGACGTTTGTGTAGGAGAGACAGCCTTTGTCTCATAACGGATATTTGACAGCTATTTTATTTGCTTGTAGTGATCTTTAGTTATTCTGGAACAGCATCAAGAAAGGAGTAAGAGGGGGTTTGGGGGTGGGAAAAGTGAGACGAGCATATTAGCTAGGACCCGGATCCAGAGTGGCCGAGGGTGAACCTTCCAGTGTTCCATCTGTCTTTACCGTAGAATGCGTTTTAGGTGTTTACCCCGAGTTCGCCTTCATCTCTCCCTGCCCCAGCTCTTCTGAAGAAAGCGCGGGGATCTGATGGCTGCTGTTTTCCTTGCTTCTGACTTTAGTGGTCCTGACTGGGCACAGAGTTTAGAGGTTTGCCATACAGATGTTGTTTGGAGGTCCCCCCTTGTGGAGGCCAAGCCCAGTCTTGCTTCTCCGTTTAAAAGTATTTCGATTGGTGGAGCTCTGAAGTCTCCTCTATCGGAATTGCTTACTGGGTGGATTTAGGGCTCACCCCAAACAGACCCTTTGTAGATGAAGAACCTGGGTGGGGCCTAGGGCAGTGAAGCTCAGGATCCGCCTAGTGGCAGAATCCCATTAGCTTTCTGTCATAAATTCTTGCACTTCCAGTAAGTAGCCATCATCCCCAGTGCTGGAAGGGGACTAAGACATTCTGGAGGCTGGGCACACTTACAGGTTCTTAGAAAGACAGGTCCAACTTCAAGTTAAATCTGATTAAATGAGAGGCAGGTAGATCTGAGTTCAAGGCCAGCCTGGTTTACTGAGCAAGTTCCAGAACAGCCATGCCACAGAGAAACCGTGTGTGTGTGTGTGTGTGGGGGGGGGGGGGTAAGAAAGAAAACTAATCAAGTGACTCCAAGGTCACTCTCAACAGTGATCACACACCCCACCCTGGGGCGGTGTGGGTGTGATCCATTTATTTACTGAGAGACCAACACAGTGCTCAGGTTTTTCAGGATGGTCCTAAGCTACTGTGAATTGCTGGGCCAAAACAAATAGCCTCTGGGACTGACAGGTCTGCTGGAGATCAAGAATTCCATGAGATTCAACTACATGTCAAACCTTTAATCCCAGCACTGGGGAGGCAGAGGCAGGCCTGTCTGAGTTTGAACCCAGCCTGGTTGACTTAGTGACTTTAGGCCAGCCAGGTCTTCACAGTGAGATCTTCCCTCTCAAAACAAGCAAAACACTTAGGTAGCTTCTGGAACTTAAACTGTGTCTCAGGGCTGGGCCCAGTGGAGAGAGATATTTTAAGCAATAGGGGTTTGGGGATGGCATCGGTTCTTCCAAAGCACTAGAAAAATACTTGCTTGAACCTTAACAGTACTTCACTGCCATGTTGTGACTTTTACTTGGTCATTAGTCATCTTCTCTACAAGCCTGGGTGGGGGGAACTTGGGATGCTGAGGTGCTGAAACTGTGGTTGCATGGGCTAGTGTCTGGAGAGAGGCATGATAAATATGTCCTTGCAGTTAAAGAACCAGTCTCCTCCAGTACAAACTGTTGGCCTCTGAGCAGCTGTCTGCTTACAGAGGCCTCCAGCATGCTCTAAATGTCCCCACTCTTCCAGGGAACCCTGCAACCAGCCAAAGGCTGAGCAAGTGCTATGGGCCATCAGTTTTGTCTCTTGTTTACTTTAAGACAACTATTAGCTCGGCAGTGGTGGCACACGCCTTTAATCCCATCACTCAGGAGATAGAGACAGGTGGATCTCTGTGAGTTCGAGGTCAGCCTGGTCTCCAGACCCAGTGCCAGGATAGGCTCCAAAGCTACACAGAGAAGCCCTGTCTCGAAAAACAAAAAACAAAAACAAAACAAATCTGACTCTGTTTGAGTGTTCCCATCTTAAATATGTGTTAGTTTAGGGATCTGTTTATTTCATTGGGTTGTTTTGTTTTTTTGAGACAGGGTTTTCTCTGTGTAGCTTTGAAACCAGTCCTGGAACTCGCTCTGTAGACCAGGCTGGCCTGGAACTAACAGAGATCTGCCTGTCTCTGTTGGGATTAAAGGCATGTGCCACCACCGCCCGACATAATATAGGGTTCTTTGTTGTTGGTTGGTTAGTTATTTTGAACAGTCTGTAGACTGGGCTGGCCTTGAATTTACAGAGATCTCCCTACTGGGATTAAAGGTGTGTGCCACCACACCTGTTTTTTGTTTTTCAAAAGTGTTTCTCTGTGTATCCCTGGCTATCCTGGAATTAACTTTGTAGACCAGGCTAGATTTGAACTCTCAAAGATCCACCTACCTCTGCCTCCCAAGTGCTGGGATTAAAGGCCTGTGTCACCACCACTGCCTGGTGATTTTTATTGATTTTTTTAAAAAGAGCTTGGGACTGGAGAGATGGCTCAGAGGTTAAGAGCACCGACTGCTCTTCCAGAGGTCCTGAGTTCAAATCCCAGCAACCACGTGGTGGCTCACAACCATCCGTTACGAGATTTGGTGCCCTCTTCTGGTGTGCAGATATACATGGAAGCAGAATGTTGTATATATAATAAGTAAATAAAATCTTTAAAAAAAAGAAAAAAGAAAAAAAAGAAAGAGCTTGCCCAGTTGGGCTTTAGGGCCTTAAGTTAAGGTTCTTTTGCCTACATGTATGTTTGTGCACTGTGTGCATTGCTAGTGCCCATGGAGGTCATAAAAAGGAGTTACAGGTGGCTGTAAGCCACATGTGGGTGCTGGGAACTGAACCTGGGTCCTCTTCGAGAGGAGCCAGCTCTCCTTTCTAACTGTTGAGCCATCTCTGCAGTCCGGAAGTATGGAATGTATGCCGGATATGTAAGCAGCTACTTGTTAGAATTAGAATGAGTTAATTGCAGTGACTTATCCTATACCCTGGAGTATTCAGCAGGGATACAGTGGAGGGTTTTTCTGGAAAGAGGCAGGAAGCCATAGGTAGATGGTACCACTCCATCTTTGGGGTGACAGGGAGAAATGGTGCAGAGAGCACAGCCAGCTCTTCAGAGAGAGAAGGTGAAAGGGTAAGCCCCTCCATGCTGGTGACTTGTTTTTGCAGAGCCTGAAATGTACCAAGTGACTTTCTGTCAGTAAGCACATCCCCAGCCCCTTGAGTTTACTATGAATAGAAGTTGAATTTGCTGTTTGCCCTTCATGTTTCTGCAAGAGGAAGAACCACTCTTCCTTGTCCTTGGGAACCATATTCCTTGTTAATCTCTGAGTCCCTGCTTAACATGAGTTATTTCCATGGCCTTTCTAAAAGGTGATCAAAAAAATTTTTTTTAACCCAAATGGAGTTGGCAGTGACACAAAAAAATGTGTCTTCATGTTGGTCACATTTTCATTTTTCTGGAGCCTTCTCAAGATTTTTCACAACACTGTTTGCAAAAGACCATGAGTCTGACCCAAAGTGTCATAGTTCTGTTCGGGTTTTTTTTTTTTTTTTTTTTTTTGGTTGTTGTTGTTAACATCACCTCCTCCTTCATGAGTGTGGTGTCTCCAGCTCTATGGCCTTACTGAGCCCTGGGCTTTTTCCTGTTAGCATAGAAAGCCTGGTACACTGTTGAAAATGAAGATAAGACTGGCTCTAGGCCGTCCAGCACTTGTGGTTCAAGGTCATTCTCAGCTACATGAGTTTAAGGCCAAGCTGTGTTACAGGAGAACCTAGCTCCAAAACCACACTGTGGGGTTGTGATTTTGGGGAGTGCTTTTTGAGAGTGTTTTACACTGTAGCTGTAGCCCAGGTGCACAGCTGTAATTTCAGCACTGAGAAAACTCAAGTCAGGCACAGGCAAGAGGGTCTCCATTTCAGAAAATAAATAAAACAAATCCTGAATAGTACCACTTAATGCTAAGTAAAAATGCCTTAGTCTTGGTTTATCCACATTGGACTGAAAAATTAACAAAACTTGACAGGAATGATGGAAGTTATCAGAGGAGAGATTGGGATCCCCCCCCCCCCCAAGTTACAAAGTTAACCTGTTCTGTGGGACTATAAATCTGGGTTTGTAAGTCCCTTGAAATGAGGGTTTAACCTCTGGGCTATGTTGAACTGCCTGATAGACTTGCCATTGTTGTTGGGCCCACTGACTGCCTCAGTGCTCCGTGGTGAGATATGATCAAAACCCGAAGTCCAAGGAGAGGGCTCCTCACTGCTCTGCCCTGTCTCAATACAGGGCAGTCCACCAGCAGCAACTAGTAGCATGGCCTCTGATGTCACCGTCTCTTCCTTTCTTGCAGAACAAAGAGTAGAAGATGTCCGGCTCATCCGGGAGCAGCACCCCACCAAAATCCCAGTAGGTTCTACTGTGGCTATGATACTTCTGGGCAAGAGGGGACTCCCCATCCACACCCCTTACCCCCACCCCAAGAAACCACCAACACCAAGAGCCCTAACCACATGCTTTCCTTCCTAATCAGGAATTGATGCTCTTGTGCATATTAAAGGGACAGATGAGCTAGAACTTAGCCTTTTCTTTCCTCCGTGTTACCAGGATTGAACCCAGGGCTTGAGCATGTGACTACTGAACTCTACTCCAGCCACCACTGCAAGGGAAACAAGGATGACTTCTGTGGGAATTAGTAGTCCTCGGGCAGGCATGGCTGCTCTGTAGGCGATGAAGGGACATGACTCTCAGCCACTTACTGAGTGTCTTGCTGACAGCCAGCCATCAGTAACCCCTATGCTGTGCTCCTTGGTTGTAGTCCTTATACAGAGCTGTGAAGTCAGGCATGGACAGGCCAAGGTTCATAGGGGCTCAGTTCTACAGCTAGTGTCCCATTCTTGGAGGAATTCTGGTGTGGTGCCTCTTTCACAGTAGAAGAGGACTTAGCCTCTCAGAATGTCAGCTGTGTCTATGTTAGAAGTGCGCCCCAGTGCCAAGTCCTGCAGGTGTATCCCTGTGTGGCTTTCTCACCAACCCCATCAAACCATTCTGAAAAGGGAGTGTTTGCTGCAGAGTGGAGGGGGGTGGGACATGTTGTTCTGCACTGATTGGACATTTCCCAGTCTGTCCTCATGGAGGTAAGGCTTCCTGGGAGTACATTTCCTGGGCAGGGCCCCATGAGTAGATTTTCCTGGACTGAAACAGTCCTTCATTTGGAGGGCCTGTCAGACCTACTTGCAAGAAGCACAGCCACCTGAGCCTGCCAGGGTTTGCACACAGCTTCCTGCAGGGCTGTGACCTGGGCACACACCAGTGGTTCCTTTCTACAGTAACTCCAGGATCTTTGCAGAAACTGAGCTGCCCATCTTCTCATGACACCAAGCAAGCATGAGAGCTAGGATGGTTGAGAACAGGGTGGCCATAGTGTCTGGCTCCCAAGCATTCCAGGCTGGAAACCTTGAAGGCAGAGGACTTTTTCAGACCAGCTAGCCACATGTCTTCCTCTAATACCTTGTACATCTTCCCAAATTGGGGAGTAAAGGAAAGTAAGTTAGGAACTGGAGATGATTGTGTCACTAAGGGGATTCCCAACAAGGGGCTGGAACCTGCTCAGAGCCAGACTCAGGACAGTGATTGAGCAAGGAAATGGGTCCTCTAGTGTTCCCATGCTTCTGGCCTTCTAGAGAGTGCTAAGGTCTTTCTTATATGTTCCTTCACTACTCTACACTTTGATGGTGGAGGGCCTTCCTCATAAAACCAGGTATGTGGCACCCACAGCTGGCATTTCCACACTTCCAAGCATTTCAGGATGGAGTTTTCAATCTCCCAGGATGGGGATGGCAGCTTGAGATGGCCTTTCAAGGAACCACATGCAGGTCACATCCAGGGAGCATGTTCAGACAAGCGCTCCTCTCTGCCATGCCACGACCAGGCAGGGATTTCTGTTCTTTGGGTGGATATCCATGGCACTTGGAAATTGTGGTGCCTGAGGTTCTGAGGCTCATCGATGCTCAGATCTTGTAGCAGCTTTTTGTTTAGTTTTTGTTTTTGAGGCTGGTCTCTGTACAGTGAACAAGATTTGCCTTGTTCACTGCCTCAGCCTCCAAATACTGGGATTATACATGTGCCACATATCCATACCTAGCTTTTACCATTTTATTTTTAATTACCTATTTGGTTCAAGAAAGAGTTTCTCAGTATAATAGCCCTGGCTGTCCTGGAACTCACTCTGTAGACCAGGCTGGCCTTGAACTCACAGACCTGCCTCTGCCTCCTGAGTGTTGGCATTGAAGGCATGGGCCACCACACCCGGCTGCTTTTAACATTACTTAAAAATTATTTTGTCTCCTTGGAGCAGATTGGGGGGATGAGAGGAGGGAGGGGGAACTGAGATTGGAATGTAAAAAAAATAATTAAAAAAAATCTCAGGGAACAAAAAAATTATTTTGGGGGTAGAGAGATGGCTCAGTGGCTTAGAGTACTTGCTCTCACGAGGACCTAGGTTTGATTCCTAACACCCACATGGCAGCTCACAACCATCTGATCTATAAAACTATGGCTGTATATATTGCTGAGTATAAGGCTCATCTATGATCCTAGCACATAGGAGGTTGATACAGGTGAATAGCCATGAGCTAAAGGCTATCCTAGGCTATGGTATGAAACTATTTAAAAAAAAACAACAAAAAAAAAAACAAAACAGGGTATGGAGACATACACCTTTAATCCTAGCACAAACAGTTTAAATAACTAAAAGGGTACCTGGTGGCCCTGTTACCACCTTTCCTGTGCCACATTTCACAGGTAGAGCTGTGAATGAACACTGGTCACAAGTGCTATGGGGAAGCCAAGGGAAGACTGGGTTGGGGCCACTCTACATGGCATGTGCTGGCCACAGCATGGGGGGGCGGGGTTGCCTACTGATAAGTGTCTCTGGCCTTTGCAGGTGATAATAGAGCGATACAAGGGTGAGAAGCAACTGCCTGTCCTGGACAAAACCAAGTTCCTTGTACCCGATCATGTGAACATGAGTGAGCTAATCAAGATTATTAGGTATTTGGCCATTTTTTTGTCTTATTTCCCTGAGGGACATTTCTCCTTTCCCCATCTTGGTGCCCGCCTTAGGTCCCTCCTACTTTCATGTCCTTCAAAGTCAGGTGGGTCCACCCTGCAGCTGCATGTATCTCAGGACAGCTATGAATGTAGTCTAGCATATTTATATAAGATATCACATCAGAAGGGCTAACGGTTGGGCACACATTCTAGATGACGGTTCTTTAAAATATTGCTAGGTATGATGGGTTGCTGCTGGCCCCAATTTGAGGCCCCACCCCCACCCACCCCCCAAATGCTAGTAAACTGTCAGGAACACTTAAGTTTGTGGACACTGGGAGTTAGTAAGAGAATGTGGACTCGGAACTTTGGCAACCTGGAAGGCTGAGGCCAGTTGTAGATTTTGAATACTAATGGCTTATTGCATGGCAGTTTCAAACTGGCCTGAGGTATAGAGCCAGTCCCTAATTCCAACCATCGTTGAGGGCTGTAACATAAGAGGGCTGTGGACTTGCTTAGATTGCCAGATCAGTTTTTTTGTTTTTTTTTCTGCACAGTATGGAGACCAAAGTGAGTCTCCCCACTGTCTTCTCTCCACAGAAGGCGCTTACAGCTTAACGCCAATCAAGCTTTCTTCCTCCTGGTGAACGGGCACAGCATGGTGAGCGTGTCCACACCCATCTCTGAAGTGTATGAGAGTGAGAAAGATGAAGATGGATTTCTGTACATGGTGTATGCCTCCCAGGAGACATTCGGAACAGTACTGGCTGTGTAAGACTAGAACAATGCCTAATGTTTGTTAAGCCCTTATCAAGGAAAAAAGGGATGTTACCAGCAGATGCTGGTCAGCTTACCATTCACAGATCAGAATATAGGCGCCCACCTAGGGTGTTAGGAACTGTTTGTCAGCAAGAAACTGAGCTTCATGCAAGCGCATTCAGCTTGGAAACTCATCTAAACTAGGCTCTCTTGTGTTCAAACTTTAGAAGTTTCAAAAATAAAATACTTTGCATCTTAAGTTGCCAATAAAACAGACCAAGTTATTTTGACATTTTTCTCCTCAGTAGGGATTTAAAATGGAACAGCAGCATCAGGGGTACATTCTTTTCCTGGGATCTGCTGCCTTCTCCAAAAGGGCTTCCACTCAGTAGAGAAGACTGCCTAAGCAATTCCTCTGCCCAGGTTGTCTAGCAGAGGGGCCCCCAGAGGGCTCTAGCTTTGCCCAAAACAGGTTAGATGTGTAGGATATGGCTTTAAGTAGCCTGGCCCTGACCCCCAGTTGCAGCACCATGTTCACCCTCAACAGTGCAGGGATGCTTACTTGCTGCTGTCTAGATGCTACCAGATACTCACCGCTGCTCAGAGGCCAGTTCCAGCCTTGAACAAAGGGTCGTTTGGTCCAGCATCTAAGTAGGCTGCAGAGCAAAGTGTTTTTCTCCTGGTTTGGATTCTGTCTGGCCCATACCTGCTTCATGGAAGAGAGCAAGCAGGTGTGCAGTGCTGGCATTAGGACGCAGCTGTCAAATGTAAACTCAACTCTGAAGTTCAGATGCACTCCATCTGAATTTAGCTTCCAGCTATAGATAATACTAACAAGTGTATAACTGTCTTTGTAAGGGTAGTTCTATCAGACAGCTGTTGAGATTCTCCCACTCCATGTCAGTACATTAGGTTTCAGCTGTGAAGATGACAGCAGCAGGAGACACAGACTCTTGACAGATATGGCCAGTTCCAGCTAAAGCAAACCACTGTTTCCTGCTACCTGCATGTGGTCTACTGTGACCATCTTTGGTGATTTCACTCATGTTTGTGATCTGAGAATCTCAGAACTGCCTGCTGTCATGGAGGGAAGCCAATATAGCCACGTGATGCCCAAGCTCCTTACAGGCACCCCTCCCCGTCCCTGCATGCAACTGTCTACTTGCTTTCAATGTGATTTTATTTACATCATTCTATCTAACTACCCTGTCTTGTGTAGGTTGTGTACGTCAATATGTCCCTGGTTTTTATAACTACGGTGCGATCAATAAGGATTCCTGTAATACTGCTTTAAAAACGCTGCTCAGAGGGGCGGCCTTCATTTATAGAACACCTGTACACTTCGATGCACTAAATGAATAAAGGCACAATTGAACCTGTCCTGAGAGCTGTCTTATGGTGTTAGCATGGGAACTGGGTCCTGCAGTATGCTGAGGGGGAGGGTACCTTCCTCTCCTCAGTCAATATCCTGCCACTAGCTCCTGCTTTTAAATTCTCTGGAGAGCTGACCGATGTGCGAGCTGTCAGGATACACGTCAGTGCTGTGGGACACATGACAGTCTTGCCCACCAGAGCACACACACCGAAGGATGAGTGTGGTGTGGGAGGCTTTACTCATGTGGACAGCTGCTGGCACTTGGGAGAGTGTCAGCAATTCAGCTTAGAGCAGATAGAAGCTCTGCAATGCTTAGCTGTTCAAGAGTCTCCTCAGGCCAGCCCAGGAGCTGCACTGGGGTTGCCAATACTATACAGGGGAAACTGGACAGATCTGGATCTGAGGTGGTTTTGGTGGCCATGCCTTTCAAGTGTAGTACTCTGCCTCAGCAACCCTCACAATGCAAATACTGGTCAAGTCAGTCTCAGGCAGTGCTGTCACCAGATCCCCTTCCTGGAAGACCAAGTCAGGCTACACCATATCCTAGGGATGTGACTGTCAAAGACCATGCAGCTGAAGTATCTTTAACCCATTTAAGTATTTGTACTGTGAGGCCACTGTTCAAAGCTGGGAACCTTGGCAGAAGCAGAGTTCCAGAAACTGGAGGAGGGAAGGAAGGTGCCTCACCCGGAGAAGAGAACTGAGCTGGGAAAGGGGCCAAAGATCTGGGAACAGTGAACACTTAAGTTTTTTTAAATTTTTATTTTCCGTACATTAAATTTACTCATAAAAACAGTCTAAAAATGTACAATTTTTCCTTTTTAACAAAGTATAATAAAACATAAAAACCCCAAAAACAGAATACTTGACATTTACAATTCAAAATCAAATTAGCAGAATATTAAATATTTACAAAACTATATCTTTTAAAAATATTTATAAAGTTACATGCAATTTTGTAGAATTGACAAAAGAATGGCTCAAAAATGGGGAGAATTGTCCTTCATTCCTAAAAAGAAAATATGCCCAATAGACTCTGAAGGTTCAGTCTTGGTACCAGCACCTCCTCTGTGTGCGTGAAAACTGACCTGTGCTGAGGACTGGGCCACTGCCTCCCTTATGGTAGGACAGGGACCTGGACCCAGCCTTGCCAGTACAATATGTGGTTTTCTGAAATATTGCCAAGTGTTGACTACAGGTGCTGCATACCGTCACACTATGGGACAGGCCAGCAGTCCAGTCTCTGGACCCCCATGGCCACCTGACTTGCTCTATGGGAGTCACCTGCGCTTTGGAAAGGACAGCTAACCCTGCTCATGTTCCCCAAGACTGTCCTTGGGAATGAGGTTGAGCAGACAATCCCTGCAACCTTTTAAGACTTTAGCAAGTAATGTCACCCATTAGCTGTAAAACTAGCACATGTCAGAGCAAATACCAGGAAGCAGAAAGAGTGACAGGGACGGAGTGAGGAGAGTGAGACCCAGTTCCCATCAGGCTGTCCTCAAAGGACTGTCATGGCACACATGTAGGCAAAGGTACTGCCATTGCAAATGCCTCTGCATGTGCGTGTAATACAAGCCAGGCTGACTTGCAGAAAGGACTGGAAGCCTAACTGGAGTTCCACACGGAAGCTGCTAACTACTGTATTAACCAGCCAGCTCCTGTCATCTTTGGGAGATGAGTATGCCGCTGGTTTCCTAATATCCAACTGTATATATGTTCAAGAAATATTTTGTCTTTATTTTAAGAGCTAGCTCCCATTCCTCAGTGCTCTTCAGAAGTTAGGAGTTTTCAGCATTAAAACACTTCCCAATTTTTACTATCAAGCATGAAACAGAAACTAGAAAGTAAGGTAGAAAATTGAGTAGTTTGCTTAAACAATAAAAAAGTCACATAGCTGTTTTGTCCCAAGATTGTGCCCTCCTATCTGAACATCCCACTTCCTACCCTGAGATGTTAACATGGGATTAGAACTGACGCTGCAGTCCCAGGACCATGCCCACCTGGGTACCACTGCCACCTGACACAGCAGTTTTGGGAAAATGACTGGAAAGGGCTGGTTTGTTCGGTGTGTAACAATGGAGTCTCCCAGCGAAGAAATAAGTGTTGGCCATGCTGATGGCCTCTACAGGCTCTGGGAGTGAGCCCCACCTACAAACATCTGCCCATGCTTCCATGTTGTGCATGCTCCTTTGCGTGATGTAATCCTTGCCAGCTTCACAGAAATGCCACACCACATAAGCTCTTTCAAAAGCAACTGGCGGCTTCCAGACACAGCACAGACTTCTGCCGTCTGGACAGCTGAGATGGTGCTGGGGCTCGCCCGCCTCAGCTGAATACCACAAGTCATGTGGGAGTTGCCACAGCAGACTGCTGTCTTTCAGGTTATCAGCTGAAAGGGTAACAAGACACTTCCATTCCCTATACTGGCCACAAAACAAAAAACTTAAATATGATTTTTTTCTTTTGCTATGAGACAGTTTTCAACAATTTCTGTGTTGAAATAGGATTTATTTAAAATATTTCTTTGTTTAAAAAAACCAAAAAATTTAAAAGTTTGGCTTTCAGCACATATCCAGGCCACTGTAACGGCCTTCAGAAATATTAAAATCGTAAACATCAATGAACACTCTAAGTCTTCCTTATTAACACAATGCGACCAATCCCAGTCTGGTGCTCTTTAAGGCAAAGTTGTGTCAGTTCTTGTATTTGACATTTGTAGTGTTACTGAGTGAGAGATCAACAGAGCATCCCCTAACACCTCATCACCATCACCTCAGAACAGATGTGATATGTGTGCCATGGACAGAACAGAGGTCTATCAATCCTGCATTGCATAGAATCGACAACACTCAAGCCTTCCGTGTGGGTCTCCACGGATAGAAAGCCCATCTTAGAACATGAAGCCTTGCATCATAGTGCCTCCAGTTATAGGGTATTTTGTGATTTACACTAATTTTGCATGAGGGTGATTGTCCCATCTGAAGAATGGTCTAAGGACTGAGACTTTCTTCTCCATAAATACAAAGCTGGAAAATCCTTGGCAAGATCTTACCATTATTTTTTTTTTTTTAACACCGAAGGCTTCAGCATTTTAAATAATGTTATTTGAGCATAAAATTCCCTTTAACCTTGAAGGTCTAAGCCCCTCATGCCTCCACTGTGGTGGGCTGAAATGTTCATACCCTGCTGAGTGAGGGCCCACCCCCACCCCTGGTCTGGACTGTTAACTGGTGAGTGGTTTCGAGGAGTCTTGCATCTCTCTACTGAAGTTTTCCAGGCAATTTTAACGGAATTAACTATCAACACACAGTCTAACACAAAAGAAGCTGACAGTTTCCAGTCTTTTGTTCATAAATCACAGGACTGTATTACTGTTGAATGTTTGTCTCAAGTGTGAATTCATCTGCAGTGAGCTCTGGGGCTGGGGTCCTGGGGAAGCCATTTGAGACATGACAACTTGCCAGCTTCCTGAAGAATGAGGAGCATCGGTCACAGCCAACTCACAAAGTCCAGTCATTCCCATGTCCTCAGGAGTTGGTTCTTGTTTGGAGAGAGCAGGCTCAAAGCCACCAATGGGAGGGGTGGTCTCAAGCCTCGGTGACTGGATTCCCTGGGACTTGGACCCTTAGAAACGAAGTTGTCAAGAGTGAGCTATGTCTTATCTACTAATATTGTGTAAATTTGTTTACAGAAAAAAATATTAAAAACCTGGAACTGCTCCAAGTGTCTGCAGAAGGACACCCTGTGACCTCTGGGTGTACTAAGCCGAGCAGCCTGCTGGTGCCAACTCCAATGCCCACTGATGGAGTCCCCTACATTGTTGGGTCCTAGAAGAGTCTGCCTCTCAGACTGAAGAGGTCCTTGTCAGGTAGTGCAATCCTTAAGAAGCCATATATGAGGCTCCCACTCTAGGAAATGGCAAAATTCAGTTGGCACTTCCTAGCCCAAAGGGGGTCTTGGATCAGACTGGGGAACTCCACTTGAGAGAACTCCGACCTGCAGTCTTGACTCAGGCCGTGCATAGCTGCCCTGGAATTTAGGTGTGAGCCTAGAAGGACCAGCAATCTTCAGGAGACAGGTCTCCATACTCCAATAACAGTGAGGTGGCCACATCACTGCTGTGGAGACGTCCACTAGGCAATCCTTGTATCAAGCTCCAAACTAGGATTTTGGCAATGAAATCGAGTTTGACGCACTTCTATGCTAGATTCTCTATCCAGTATAGTAAAGTAAAGCACCTTTGGGTTAAAAATATTAAGCTCCACAGCAACTCGACTTCAGTTTTCTATGTGATTTTCCTTAGGTCTCCATGGCTCCACAGCAACTTGACTTCAGTTCTCTATGTCATTTTCATGGCTTAATAAAATGTTCTGTTGCCAAAAAAAGAAAAGGATCAGTCCGTGGAGTCCAGACTTTCTGCTGGAGGGGCATATTTCAACCTAAAAGTTCCTGGAAAGAAAGAGAGAGAAAGAGAAAGGAAGAGAGAGAGAGAAGAGGGTGAAGCCTGAGTCAGTTGTAGAAGTGCACACACCACCCATCTGCCCTGAGCTGCCACCTAGGACTGACTACTCTCATGCACAGCTGGATGCCATGGGTTTACAAGACTCTCTGGAAGTGACCAAGAGAGCACCACAGCTCATCTCTCCATGCCGTGGACCTCTTTCTCTGGACATGAACCTTGCACCTAGGCTGGCAGCACACTCATGTGGGCAGGAAAGGCCTGGACTTAGAAGGTACAGGCCAGCTCTGGGAAGGGAGGCAGCCACCTGTACCACCACTGGATCACTCATATTACAGGTTTCAGCTTCTAAACGCTCTCCAGGTGGTGAAGATCAACAGGAACTGTGCATAATCTGAGATGGAGGTGATGGGAACCCAGGGATGGGCAAAGTGGGATCAGCTTTCCTAACTTTACTGTAATTTTTCCAAAACAAACAGCAATTGTAAACCTAGTGATCCAGGTGTGTGGTAATAATGTTAATAATCCCAGCACTCTGGAGACCAAGACAAGAGGAACAGGAGTTCAAAGCCAGACAATAAAACAACAAAAGAATAAGCCTGGTATAATACAGTGGTTATATTTAAATTTGAATAACAAAGACAAACTATAGGAAATAAGAAACAAGGGGAAGGAAGCAGCAGCCAGTCAGCAAGACACAAGGGCATATAGCTGTCCCTTGTTCCAGCAGAGGCGGCTGTGCTGGAAACCTTAACTGCCTGCCCCACCCTTAATTTTCACATATCTTCAGGAGGTGACAGCAATCAGTGGCCGCTCTACAGCCCTACAAGTTCCATCCAGCTCACTCTGCTTAGGTCTGAGGCCATGTTTTTTGTTTTTGTTGTTTTTAAGGTGTGTGTGTTGTGTGTTTATGTGTCTCTGTGTATTCATGTGTTCAGGTGCCTACAGAGGCCAGGAGAGGGCTCTGGATTCCCTAGAGCTGAAATTACAGGCAGTTGTGAATGGCCTAACATGGGTACAGGAACTGAACCCAGGTCCCTTGAAATAAGTTGGCTTTAAAAACAAGTTTACTACGATTTACAAAAAGCCAAGCAATCATTGGTACCCTCTCCACCCCACCCCACCCCCGGAGCCATGACCAGCACAGCAAGGAAGATAAAGTACCTCCCAGTGTTTACCTTGCCGGTTGAAGTCCATGGACGGCTGCTTGCAATCCTGAGCACGGTGACCAGTAGCCCCACAGTTGTAACAGGACAGATTCCCACTCTTTTTGTGACTGGAGCCATTGGTGCTGCCCACCAGGCCTTGGGTTTGATACACCCCTGCTGTCCCAGCCATGAAGTTCTGCATGGGTGGCACTGCAAACGTGGACTGCCCACCTAGGACAGGGTCCGGAGTCACACTGCCACTGTAGGGCGCGTGTACAACAGGGAAGGCAGAGCCACCACCATACTGCTGGGTACTGACGTAGCCATTGCTGCACATGGGACTGAAGGGTAGGAAAGGGAAGGTAAACATGGATGGCCCAGAGAATGGGTGCTGGAAGTAGTTGGCATAGCTGACAGTCAGGCCACTGGAGCCACAGCTGCCACTGCACCCACAGGATGTGCACACAATGCATCCAGGTGGGGGTGGCGCAGGCTGTGGGGGTGCGGGGGGCTGTTGATGGTGGTGGTGGTGGTGGTGGTTCTGACTTGAGGCAGGAATGTTTCCTGGGGAGCTGCTGCCAGCACCGCCACTGTAGAAGCTGCTTTCAGGGACAGAGGAGAGGGCAGGGCTGGAGCTGGGGGCAGGACAACTGGGCAGAGTGGCCATGCTCGCAAAAGACGTGGAGGGGTGGCTGCTAGGGGAGGCAGTGTTGCTGTTGGCGCAGAAGCTGCCTTGCAGTGGGCCCACAGGCACACTGCTCACTGCAGAGAAGGCAACTTTGGTGTTGGCTGTATATAGAGCAGTCCGAGGGTTGATTATTGCAGGGGGAACGCTGATCTGCCCATTGTTGGGGCAAGAAGTCTGCCCAGAGATGGCAGCATCAGCAGGGACGGAGGAGGACAGCAGCAGTTTGATGGGTGGCCGGGCCACATGCAGGACGGTGCTTGGTGTCCCTGTGGCGGCTGAACTTGTCTCTACAGTCAGGGCTGGCTGCTGTGCTGTCTTCAGCACCCTGTCCAGTGTGGCTGCATGCACAACTTTGGCCCGGGGACCAAAGGAGACCGTGGGTGACACAGAGTTGTTCTCTACAAGGCCCGAGAGGACCTGCACTGGTGGATGGGGTGCCGCTGAGGGCAGTGTGTCCAGCACAGCTCCGCCAAAGCTCTTGTCCACTTTTGTGCCACTTCTAGGGCCAGGCCCCTTGTTCCTTTCTTCCAGGGTCAGAAGGGAGTGGACAGAGGATGAGAGGAGCTTCACGTCCGTGCTGCCTCTGTCCGACTTGTGCACCGAGTTCAGCATGCGGACAGGTGCCAGGTGGGAAGCTGTAGGCATCAGCTGTGGGGGCAGGGGATGGTGACCTGCAGGGCTGGAGCCAGTCTCATTCTGCACAGGCAGAACCTGGGCTGTGGGTCTGGCAGAGCTGGATGGGAAGTGAGTCAGCAGCATCACAGGCTTCTCCTTGTCAGTACCCTCGACATGCATGTCCACACCTGAGGATGGAAAAGACTGTTAGCACGCACAGCGTGTGCCCAGCAGCAAGCTCAGAAGGTGGGGCAGCAAACAGGCCACAGCACAGGTGTCTTACGTCTATCGCTCTCCTCAGCGCTGTCTGAACTCTCCTCTCGCACCTGCACACCCATGGGGCTAGAGGAGGAGCTGGAATACTCGGAGGAGCTGCCTTCCCGGGGCAGCTGGTGAGCCGGTGGCTCCACCTCCACCCGTAGCTCTGTGGAGAAGGCAGGTAGAGGTCAACAGCTCATGGCACTAGCCTACAGGCAAGAGAACCCTGTCAAGAACACTAGGAAATACGTCCCCAATCATGGTCAGATTAAGCTCCAAGAATCTTGAAAACTGCACCAAGCACTCAAGGCCATATTGTTAGGTGACAGATCAAAGGGGTACTTCTGGCTCAGGCTAGCACACTGAGAGGTTGATGCCCAGTCACTGTGGGGTGCCCTGTTCCATCCTGAAGAGTACAGAACTGTATTATCTGCCATGAAGGCTCACTGTAGCAGACTGAATTGTTCCAGATGGACATTTATTTCTTACCAATCTGCCATGACTCTTGCTATTCATCACATCTTGTTGATGAATAAAGCAATGCTCAATGCTTCCAGCAGGACAACACAGCCACTAACTCATATGTTCCCAGCCTCTTCCACAGACAAGGAATAGGGGAAGAGGAGGAGGATAGAGGCTAAAACCCCAAGTCCTTTAAGCCTCTCAAGTTTCCAATGGGAAGACAGGACAACAGTGGTCAGAGAAAGGGCACCAGGCAACAGTTCATGACAATCACCTGTGTGGCAAAGGCCTTTCACCTCTCTGGACTGTATCTTGCTTCCCCCAGAGCATAAGAGTTCAGGGTCTACCATTGCTGTCCAAATAACCTGAGACTAGGCACCAGTGTCTGGCACCTAAGGCCATCCATACAATTACTTTCCTGCACTAAACACTACAGAGTCAGGATAAAGAAAACTAAGTATAAACATTTAAAACCTGTAAATGAAAAACAAGAGTAATCTGAAGTCTAATTCTGATCCAAAAGAATACCATACCACACCTGTATACATGCCACACATCTGAACCACAGGCCCTCACACACCTGCAGCATGGTTGCTACGCCCAGGTTGCACAGGTCCCACGTGGCTGGTGGGGGTGACTCGGGCCACTCCACTGCTGGTGACCAAGGATGGAGCTGAGGAGTTGAGGCACCGTCTCTCTGACTTCTCCCTATGAATGACAAGCAGTCAAAAAGCTCCTCCACAACATTCTAGCTTCCAGTGCACCTCCCAGGCAGGTCCACAGAGGCCAAAGCTACAGCTGGATGCTGGGTATCAGCTGAGGACTGGGTAAGAAATAAAGTATCCCCGGACCCTGACATTTAAAAGCCTGCAGGTTCTAACACAGCTCAGCACATGAGAAACTAAAATGAACACAAGTTATTCTGTGTTGATTTGGTGTTTTGAGATACAGTCTCACTATGTAGCTCAGGCTACCTCAAACTCAAATCCCTATCCTTCTGCCTCAGCCTCAGTGCTGAGATTATAGGGTGGCCACACCAAAAAAAGCACACACACTAATTACTTTTTCTTTCTCCTTCCTTCCTTCCCCTCTCCCTCCCTCTCACTTTTACAGAGATCTGCCTGCCTTTGCCTCCCAAGTGCTGGGATTAAAGGCGTGTACCACCAACACCCAACATACATCACATGATTTCATGCTTACTTTTCCAGCTCCAACTGAGTCTTAAGCTTTTTCTTTGCTCCCATGGTGAGGGACTCAAATTTATTCAGATCTTCTTCAGTAAGGCTCAGAAACTTGCATAGGAGAAACAAAAGACAGTTACTGAGATGACCATAAGGACTCTGGAACCAACAAACTTCCATCTGAGTGCAGGATAACAGATAAAAGGGCTAGCAAACAAAAGACTGCAGACAGAGACCACGTCCCATTGCTCTAAACAGCTGTGGCCTCTCTCCTCTGTACCTCACCACAAGTACAGCTAACAGGCATCCTTCAGCCCTCTGGTCCTTGCACCCCAGTCATTAGGCAGGGATGCATACCTCGGACAGCTTTAACCACTATTCATTTACAATTGAAGGCTGTCCCTGACCCCTGGGGAAGGTCTCACAGAAACAGAGCACAGTTGCTTTTTGGCAAATCACCTTCAGTAGCTTGGTGAAGACCCAAGTAATGTAGAAAGAAGGCACTATCCAGATGAAATGGTCCTAACCTACAGGCCTGATGCCCCAGGACAACCACATGATTCAGTCACCTCATCATAATTCTGAGTAGATAACTCAAACTGTTCATAGCCAGTATTAGAAAAGAAAATCTCTTGTCCTTAAGATTCAGGGGCCCTCAGCAACAGCATGACAAGGACAAATGCTGTATTTCCCCTGTCTCCAAAGCTCCATCTCTACGTTTAACAGTAGAGTTTTATAGGTGTGGAGCTGTTACAGATCCATCTTGTCCAGCAGGGGGAGTTCAGATTTCAAACACCTTGTGCAGGTATCATTTGGCTTGGAAACATCAACAGGCATCCCAAGTCAAAACTGTCCACTAAAACACTGCTCTCTGAGCAGGCCAACTCTCTTCCATGACTCCAGGTCCAACGGTTAAATGCATCCTAGGTTGTCTGAACCCCCACTTGCTTGTGGCCAAAGCAATGACTCTGTGAGCTGGCCACACAGAGGCAGGAGCTATACCTGGGCTACTTTAAAGAGGAACAAATGGTATCTGAATGAGCACTGGCTTACAGCAACTTGAGGGATGGAGCTAATACAAGTCACTGGGTTACTGGTTTGTCAAGACCTGAAACATCTAGAAAAGCTATGTGCTTATCACAAATCCTGCTTTGGTTTGTTTTTGCTTTAGGCAGCCTGGGAGTGAAATCATGGTCCCCTCTAACAACAAGCTACATGATCACCACCCAAGTTCTTGACACCTCTAGGAATGAGGACAGGACACAGGCTACTAGAGGAATAGCAAGCACACAGTGTGACCCTTTGAGTAGTCAACATACCTTCTCCATGGTGAGCTGTTTAAAGACGGGGTAATATTTGTGCAAACGAAGCTTCCTAAGCCAGTCTAAAATCCCATTTTGCTCCTGGGGCTGAGGGGCCTGCAGACTAGAGGGCATCAGGATGGTAGGCGAGTTGTCCACTTGGGTCCGGTAAGCCAGCGTTGAGCCTGTACCCCCTGTGTGGGAGCAGTGGGGCAGGGAAGCAGATGCACTGGCCGAGTGCTGCAGATGGTGCTGGGTGCTGCTCTGCGAGGATGGGATGCCGGCCACTCCACACACAGGCCTGCAGGACATGGGACAGTGGATAGTGGAGTACAGGAACTGCTCTATAAGACTGCAAACTGGCACCAGGACGTTAGAGGCATCCCACGCTGGCACCTACTACCTATGGCATCTGGTGTTTGGCTCATGGCACACTTGGGACTAATCAGTGTCCTGTCCACTACCACCCCCATCATGACTTCCCTCCTCAAAGTACAGTGCCCACAGGGATACTCCTGTTCCCACATGCTGTGTGTGTGTCCATATGCATCAGAGATTCAGCTGAGCTACCTGGTGTCTGTCACTTCTAAGGATCAATGTTAGTCATGAGTTAAAACAAGCTACTCAGCACTGTGAGAAAACCATGAAACTGGGAAGCCAAAATTTAGATTCTCTCTACCCAATTCCTCTCCTGGCATTATCTAAGATGTAGATTGAGCAGACAGCTTTGACAGCAGCTGCTTGCATACAAATGGGAGAATTGCTGACCCTGCTGGCTAGAGAAGACCACTCACCTTCCAGATACTCCCATCATGGCACCTACTTTAGGAAGGGAGGGGTTGCCAGGACCTACAAAGCAGAAGAAAAGTATTATAGAGACTTACGGATAATAATCTAACTTTGTTTTTATTTTTTAATCATTTCACAAACTTACTTGGATTTTGGAGTTGTTGGGTAGGAGATGAAGTACTGAAGAACTTCCTAACGTGGTCATGTTTCAGTGTGTGAGAAGGTATGGAAGCCAAATACCTGGGGATTAACACAGCAGTTTGTCAACATTGAAACACACACACACACACACACACACACACACACACACACACACACACACACACCCACCCCTACACCCCATTGGGAAAACCTGAGAACTTCAACCAAGAGAATATTAGAGAAAAAAACAAACTAGTCCCATAGCCCGATACCCTTCTTGCTTTTATTCAATTTGTATAGTTCCCTTCAAGTCCCTTCTCTTGTCTCTTATAGTGAACCAATCAAGCTCTACAAGAGTCTGTGACATGAGCACTGGGACCCTAGTGCTCCTGAGTCTGCTGGAACCTTGCAAGTCATAATGTGAAGACATTGGTCCCAGAGCCCAGAGAGGACCATGGCCTCGCACACACTAGAGAACCAGCAAGAGGCCATAGCTATGGCTCAGTTGGTAGTGTTTAGCCAACACATGCAAAGCCCTGGATTCCATATCTAGTACCACATTAACTGTGTGTGGTGAGGCACACCTTTGATCCCAGCCCTTGGGAGGTGGAAGCAGGAGGATTACAAATTCAAGGTCATCCTCAGTCTCAAACGGAACAGAACTAGTGAGCCTCAGCAAGGCATGTTCCCTGTGGCTGAAGATTCAGAGGACGTATTTTCATTCTGACAAGCTTCAGATTTTTCTTTTCCCTCATACAGGGTTCTCCGTATACTCCTAGCTGTGTGTGCCACTACTTTCCAGACAGTTTCAGCTTTTAATCCAACACAGCTGACTGCTTATATCATCTCAAAAGGACAGCAAAACCCCACGTAGCACAAGCTTTTGATTCCTTCACCTCATCCTCAATTCACCCTAAGGTTGTCCATATCCTTCAAATCCTTACAACAGATAGTCCTGGAGATAAAGGAAAGATCCACACCAAAGCAACACAGCCACCTGTGTTGCTTACTTACAAGAGGCTTACTTACCTCAGACCTGCTTCTAAATCCACATGGTTGCGTTCCACATAGAAAGAATCTGGGCCAGCCAAGCAAGGAATGAGTTTGTCCAAGTTCTCTTCAGGGCAGAGCTGGGATAACTGAAAGAAAACACAAGGCAGAAGGTCTGTCTCCACAGCATATCAGCACTCTGCCTTGCTACATGAGGCTTGGTAAGGGGCCTCTGGAACATCTGTGGTAGGACAGTTTGGACCTTTCCAGCTGCTTTGGTTCTATACACATGTCAGACACCCTACCACAGGCAGGTGAAGCCTACAATCCTCCAATCCTAACTATCCCTGAGTCTAACATATTTTGAGTCACAGGGCCAGTTCCTGACCAGAATCTAAACAGGGACCAGGCCTGCAAAGAAAGCAAAGATTCTTCAATGCCACACCATGGTCAGCACAGATGGGTTAAGACGGATATATTCCCCTGGGACACATGAGGCCACTATATAGAGGTGGGGAGCCAAGAGTGACACAAATGCCTTGGGAACAGATCTAAACTCCCAGGGCCTTGTCTCTAAGGCAAAGGTCCTTAGCCTTTAGGGGAGAAACAGGAGCATGACATGTTCCTGGCCCAGTGTATAACAAGACCCCAGTTTCTTAGGCAAGCAGTGCTCTGGGTGGAAGAGCAAAGCAAACATCTTCTAGCCCTGAAGCAAGAACATGAGACCCCTTGAGTGCAGGACCCTACTCAACACACAAGCAGAGGTCTTCTACTACTTGCAAAAGGCTGAGGTTCTGATAAAGTCTAGCCCCCAAAACCCAAGCACAACAGCCCTGTGTCTAAGACCATGACCAGGATGGGAGAGTGGAGAATCCCCCTCTCGCCCTTCTATAAGTCTAGCTCCAGGTTATGGGCATTGAGAGAGGACACAAACAGAAAGAGTCCCTCTGGTATATTGGGACAGCTGAAAGTTGAGTGTTAAGCAAGGCTCTGGCAGTTCAAAACCCTGGAAGCAGCAGCCCATCAGAGATGTTATGATCACATCCAGAACCAGCCACTCCTGCCTACATTGATCCAAGGACCTCACTACTGGCCTGGCAGGAGATAAGTACCCACTATAGGCATGACCACTGTTTCTTCAGATTCTACAGCCTTCTGAACCTAATGCCTAACATTCAATAAAAATGTCAAAGATATGAGAAAATATAGGGACAGGGAGACTACTGTCAATGTTGTCAAGAGAAAAATTATGTGTGGTGGCTTATGCTTGTGATCGCAGAACTTCTGCTGACTGTCATGACTAGGTAAAGGATAGAAGCCACTGATATCACTGCACCATGTACTTCACTGCTTGAAGAGACCTTCGTCACCTTACCTTTGAAATAAATTCAGTCACTTCTGAGGAAGACTTGGTTACTGACGTTATTGAAGAATCAGACCATAAGACCTTAAAAACAAACAAACAAGCCTTAAAAACAGATACCACATACTCAGATTCCAGGTGTCCAGGGCTCACAGCTAGTGAATGAGACACTCATACTCCCGACTTGCTATGAAGACAATAGTCACATAACCCAATTGCATTCATGCACTACCAAGTCACTAGAGCCTAGGGGCCGCTCCTAGGATATCACCTGCCATCTAAGCACCCATGTACACCAGGCATGCTTCCTTCTCTTTATGGTACATGTGATGCTGGACAAAGCATCAAGTCACCAGAAATCAGCCTCTTCACCTGGAAGCAGGTATCAGTGCCACACAGGTACTGTGGCTATGTGAAAACTTAAGCCCAGGCCTGGCTTGGGTCCTCAGGCAGATGACAAATGTGGAACAGGAGAGGTCCTCCACAAGAGGGCTGCATCAGTTCATAAGAGTTTGAGAGCTGAACAGGGCTTAGTGGCAGAAGCTGTGCATGCCTGTGGGCTTGGCACTTGCTTTAACCCATGGCACTGGGACCAACATGATCTTCTGACTTCATAAAGCTGGCACTGGCTGAGCTCTCGTCATCCCTTCTTGACTGCAATAAGCCTATTGCTTTCAACAGTGCTAAGCAGCCTGAATGCAGCTACTTCTGCAGAAGTAGGGGTAGGGGTCTCTCTCTCTCTCTCTCTCTCCCTGTGCCAAAGAGAGAGAGAGAGAGAGAGAGAGAGAGAGAGAGAGAGAGAGAGAGAGAGAGAGAGAGTGTGATGGTGGGGTCTGTGCAAAGAACATGAACCCACTTAGAAAGGGCAAGAACAGGAGGCATGAGGAGTAGGCCAACTAGGAGATACAAACACACAAATTTTGCCTAAAATCCAGAAGCCATTGCCCAAAAGGGATGCATCACATTTACCCTGGTGTAGAGGCAAGAGCTCAAGATGCCAAGCCTCTAATCCCTTCTCTGCATAGCTGAGACACCTGGGAGGGTTCAGTCATGTTCCTTTCATCTGTGAGATCCAGGTGGATCTGTGTGTTCCAGCATCAGCACTGTGTGTGACAGCTCTTACAAAGCCACAGCAAATGGAGAGAACTTCACAGATGAGGCAACTACTGTCTTTGAGCTACCTGCTGCTAGGAGTGTGGCTTCCATCTCAACTTGTGTGCACTTGGTAGAAAGATGCCTTAGTGCTTCTTGGCTTCCAATAATCCCACAAAGCTGGGGTTCCTAAATTTGGGCCATATCAACCCTAACATCCCAGATTGAGGTGAAAACCTGAGTCACCCAGAGCCTTGAGTAGAGACATCTAGCAATCTATTTCAAAAAGGAGTTTTTTCTCTCCCACAACTGACCCAAGGAAAGCACAAAGCCCACAGCCAAACAGCAGGACAGCCATACTGAAAGCCATACTGACCACTGCCACAGCATGGCTTGCCCTGTGTGTGTTCCTGGGGTCCTCATCACAGCCAAAAACATAGAGTGGAAGATTCACAGTCTGGTCCCAGGAATCTGGTTCACTTCCAAGTTGCCTAGCTTTGGCCAGGGTCCAAGGCTGCACTGCCCTCATACTCAGTCTCCATCCACTCAACACAAGGCGCTGGGGGAAGACAGGCCACCACAAAGGCATGGAGATGTAAAGCACCCAGTCAGAGCTGGCATCTGCCATCCACCTCCAGGAACCCATTCCTTCCCACCCCATCAGCAGGCATTGCAGGAAAGTTGAGGCACACAGCACCAATTACTTCCTCCAAGAGCTGGAGAGCCATACTGGGGCTGACTTGAATCTTTCATCACACAGAAATAAACAACATACAGGCTCAGGTCAGCTCCACTTGCAGCCTCATTTCCTACTCACATGCAGAACCTTTGCCTAGAGCCACAAAATGGCATGTGCTTTATTCTGTACCAGCCAGGTGCTGGGCAGAGAATCCCACCCAGCCTACAAGGTACCTTGTAAGATCCCCAAACTCCTCCCAAGCTCCCAACCATCTTAAGGGAAAAACATCATGGAGGATGAAGGCCTGCAATCCACATTCTCAGGGGACTTGATGCCAAGATCAGAAAGAAGAGCTTGGCTGAGGCAATGGTGGCAAGCAAAGGCCTAGCACAGCTGGCAGCACAGGCCCCAGGGAAGGATCTGGAAGAAAACCCAAAGCCAATAAACCTCTAAACATCCAAACTAAAAAACAGAAAAAACCAAATAGAGACATCCATCCCATAAGATAGACGAGGCAGGTGACACCAAGACTCTTCCAGAAGTGTAAAACACTGGAGGCTGCCAGAGGACCAGCCAGAGTGAAACCAGGTAAGCATGCTTTCACATTCCTCAGGAAAGCCATGGCTAGAGGCCAGACATGATAGCATACTCCTTAAATCCCAGCACTCAGGAGACAGAGGCAGGAGGATCTCTGTTCAAGGCCAGCCTGGTATACACAGAGAGTTCTAGGATAGTCAAGACTATATAAAGAGACCCTGCCTAAAAAAAAAAAAAAAAAAATGAGGGGGCTGGAGAGATGGCTCAGAGGTTAAGAGCACTTGACTGCTCTTCCAGAGGTCCTGAGTTCGATTCCCAGCAACCATATGATGGCTCACAACCATCTGAAAAGAGATCTGGTGCCCTCTTTTGCTATACATTCAGACAGAGCACTCATACACATAAAATACATAAATCTTTAAAAAACAGAACAAAAACAAGATGAAACAACAAGAAATCATGGCCAGTCCATTATCAACCACA